GCACCCGGGGACGGCTTGGCCTGACATCACTCATCTCTTGCTTGCTCTTGTGTCAAAGTGCACACGATTTCTTGTAAAAATGATCCGGCTGCTAATTAGGCTGTTTATAACTTGTTTCCCTGGTCGCTGATGATAATTAACATGCAAATGAGCTTGGGGAGGGGAGGCTCTGAGCCCCCCGTTCATTACCACGTTAATTACTGTTTGCATACTTAAGTATCTCAGACACAAATGGCAGCAGTTAGCAGAATGGGCAAGATGATCATTATACCCACGGCATTTTGAAAAGTCATTCCACTCTGTTATTTTTCTGAGTGATTAATGGTTCCTGGTGGCCTGGTTGATAAACTTCGTTAGTTCAAGCCAATCTAGGCTGTGTACACAGACTGCGGAGCGGCTCCCGGCGCAGCGCCATTAATCTCTCTGTGTACCACCCCCCACCCACCTGCCCCCTTGGTGACGGAGTTTCAGGAGAAAGAGGAGGCAAGGGAGAAAGTTGGGTAGTTCTTGGGGCCAGAGAACTTCTTGGTGTTAAAGGGACAGGCTCCAGAACCCACTCTGCCCAGCAACAGTGGGCCATGTTCAGTTGCAGGGCTTAGTTTGGGGAGATCTGAGTCTCAGGACTGGCCTAGGAGACCAGGATGTCCCTGCACGGTGTCACATGAAGTTCTTGGATGGCACCTCTTCAGTACTGCCCCTCCCTCCCTTCTTCCTCCTTCTCTCCCTTCCTTCCTTCTTTCTTGTTTCTTCCTTCCTGTCTCTTCCTCCCTCCTTCCTCCCTCCTTCCTCCCTTCCTTCTTCCCTTCCTGTCTCTTCCTTCCTTCTTGTCACTTCCTCCCTCCATCCATCCCTTCCTTCCTTCTTTCCTGTTCCTTCCTGTCCTCCCCCCTTTCCCTTCCTTCCTCCTTCCCTTCCCTTCTTCCCTTTTTCCCTTCCTTCCTTCCTTCCTTCCTCTCTTTTCCTCCCTCCCTTCCTTCTTCCTACCTACTCTCCCTCACTAGTCCCCTTCCTCTCTTCCTTCCTAGCTGCCTGTCAGGCATCTGCCAGGTGATGATAACCCTAACCCTGACCTCCTCAACTGGGCGGCTGGAAATCCTCAGCTGGAATCCCAGCAAGGAAGCCAGCAACGCCTCGGTGAGCCCAAGGCTAACGGTGATGGTGGCAGAGGACCGGGGAAGCTATTTCATAGAAGAGGGTCTGTTGAAGTGGGGACGACCGAGCCCAGACCTAAAGGAAGTAAGGAGAGCCAGGTGGATATTGGGAGGGAACCGTGATTATAATAAAGGCCCTAGTGTGGGACCAGGCTTATGGGGGAATGGGGCAGGGTCTGGTCCTACTAGGGACCACTGCGAGCGCCCTGAGTGATTCAGGTGCCAAAACGGGTGAGAAGAAGCAAAGGCAGATCCCTGGCTCAGGATCTGAGCAGGCTTTGCGAGCTGTGCTTCAGATGTGGCACAGACAGGCTGCAGGCAGTGCAGGCGGGGAGACGAGACAGGATATGCTCAAACTTGATGGTGATGAGGCAGTGTGGGTGGGAGCAGAGGCCCTGCATGGAAGGGGTATCTGAGGAGGTCTCCTCACTCTAGCCCAGCTCCTGTGGCCAGGTAACCAGAAACCCAAGGCTCCAGGCAGGACACTGCTGAGCCAAGTCTCCCCTTTAGGGCCTAGGCCCACCACCTGGCCTCAGAACCCAGTTCTCATTGGGAAGACCCACTGACCAAATCAGCCATGGAGGGCCATGGTTTCCCCTCTGTAGCTGAGCTGCCTGCCAGGGAAGCCTGGAAGCCACAAATGGACAGCTCCTATAAATGCTGGGAGGGACATAGACCCTGTAACTAGTTCCCTATTGAGCCACCCGGCTCTTGGTTTCACCCACCTCCTGGGCACAGGGAAGGCTCTGCACCTATAGGAGGAACTGGAGCAGCCAGAAGCAGCAGGTAGGCAGATGGCTGGAAAAGGGGGAACAAGCGCACCATCCTACTACATTATTGATCCTAGAATAGAACAAGAGCCCCAGGGAACAAGAGGAGCCAGCTCCCCGGCAGGTGTGGACTGGGCGTGTGTGTCTGCCAGCTGTAGGGCCTGCCAAGAACTAAGCTTGACTGAGGTAGGATCTAATACTGGGGGAGAGGAGAGGAGAGGAGAGGAGAGGAGAGGAGAGGAGAGGAGAGGAGAGGAGAGGAGAGGAGAGGAGAGGAGAGGAGAGGAGAGGAGAGAAGAGAAGAGAAGAGAAGAGAAGAGAAGAGAAGAGAAGAGAAGAGGAGCCTCTCATTTGCTTGCAATTCCTGTCAACAGAGGAGACAAGCTGAAACTCCATTAGGCAACTCCTAGACTACCCCCAGGTAAATCTTCTGAACCCTAGAGGATTCTCTACTGAGTGAGGTCACAGAGAACCCTGGCTGGGGGAGGATATCCCACTCTGGCAGCTAGGGGAGCTCGGGGTAGCTTACACAGCCTGGCAGAGCAGTATGGATGCTTGGAATGTAGGTGACCCTAGCAGGTATGGGTAGGAACCAAGTTCATAGAATTAGCCAGTGCTATAGCAGGCCCTCGGGTCAGTGGGGAGTGAAAAGCACTCCCGAGAGCCCAAGACTGCCCTTTGGGGGATCCTGGGTGCAGACCTGCTGCAACTCATGTTGGCTTAGACACAATGAGCCCTTGAGGTGAGCGCCTGTAGAGGGGCAGAGGGGAGCGAGGCAGGAGGATAACGTGCATGGGGGCCTCAGGGAGGCCATGTCAGCAGCAAAGAGAAGCTCAGACCCCCTTGGAGGCCTGGCATGGACAAACAAGGCTGACCAACTCACCTCTGAGTTGTACCATGACCTCTACCCTGGATCCAGGACCATCAGCAGCAATCAGTGTCAGGAGGGATCAGACCCCCCACCTGGAAGGGGGAACATTTTCCCAGCCCCCAGGGTTGAACCTAACCATCAGGGACACATCAGAATCTGAGGGGCAAGTTGCCACTGCCCACTAGGGGGGCGAGACATCTGAATTCTGGGAAGACATGGACCAGATCTTTCTAATCCAGCCCTCTTGGGAGAGCACCCCAAGGGGTCTGGGAAGAGGATCCATAAAGACTTCCGGTGGGAACCATCACTCCCAGTCTTCCTCTGGAGAGGTGAGAAAGCGCCCCCTATAGGCCCTGGGAGCACTGTCCCTGAAACACTAACTCACAGCTACCAGACCTGTACCCCATGAGGTCAGCTTCAGTTTTTTTTTTCAACTTCTCCACTGTTCCCTGCTCATCTAAAAAGGCCCAGTCACCAACACAGTGCTCTCTCTAACACAGGGCATCCTGAGGCCCTGCTTAAACATTGTATACATTGAAGCCTTAGGGGCTACAATGACCTTTCCCCTCTTTCCCCGGCCAACCACAACCACAGATACAAAGCCCTCAGCACAGAGGAGTGGTCAGATGATCAGTACACCTCTTTTGCAACTATTCTCTAAGGGCTATCCCTGTGGAGCAGGGCTGGCTGAATTCCCAACAAAGTGGGGTGTCTAAGGCAGCAGGACCTATGTAGTGTACAGGGCCAGAATTCTGGTCACCGCCAGCTAGATTTGAGTCAGGCACAGCAGAAATCCTTTGGACCAGGGAGACTAAAGCCATGAGATCTGCCACCCATGCCCAGAATCTGAAACTCTCAAGGTCATGGGCCTCAGCCTCTCCACCCAGGCCCAGCAGCTGGTGTCCGTGTACCACGATATCAGAAATGAAAACGCAATAGAGAAGATAGCATGGGCAGGTAGGTTCCAGCACCCAGGCATATTACCCTCAAATGGGAGCGGCTACTGCAGCCCAATCCCAACCAAAAGATGGCCCATCTGGCCAGTGCCTGCAGGCCCTCAGGCTCCATACACCCAGGCAGGACACAGGGGACAGATCAGGGCTAATGTAATTGCCATAGTTAGTGCCCCTCTGTGCCCCCAGGCCCTTCCAACAGCCCCACAGGACAGCCCACTCCATTACAGAGCTAGCCTAATTAGGGTAATTAAAATGAAAGTAATCAAAGTAACATAATAGGAATTTTCTTAATAAGCCCTCACTGCCGCTGACGGCATGAGTCCTGTGCCTTTGTGAATGTCAAGGAGCTGAAGAGAAGGTTGGCCCCTGCAGGGAGATGGGCCTTGCTGACCATGCCCGCCCTGCATCCTCAGACCTCAGCCCAGGCCCTTCCATATCACAGCTCCCTCCTCAGAGGGGTGTGGGCCACATCCCAGGAAGCTAGCCTCTGGAGGAGGACACCAGAGGACCCCACTCCCCAGCTGCCTTGAGCCCATACCTCGACGCCTTGATATGGTGCGTTGGGAGGGGCTGCCCAAAGCAGACCCCCTGTGCAGGCCTGTGAAGCTGGTAACCCAGCATGCCCCATAGGGCAGTTGACTAAATCTGAACTGATTCTCAGTCCCCAGCCTCCACCCCCTCTTTAAAACTGAACACTATGTCCCACTGCTCAGTCTCAACCTGGCCATCCCCAACAAGGAGGAGATCAGCAGGCCTGCCAGAGCCAGGACAACCCCAGGAGCTGCGGGCATCCTAGCCTACTTGCCCAGTTCAAGGGACTTGGGGCAAGTGAGAAGACCTGCAGGACACCAAAGTGGACAGGGAGAGGAGTGGGAATGGGGGTGATGTGGGGGGCCACACCATTAGAATAGCCAAGGCTGAGTTCTGAGGTTCAGAGACGAAGCCTGAATGTGCTGGGCAGGGACTTGTACAAGTCATCGGGCAGCTTCACCCAGAGCCCAGAGGTTGCATGCTCCTGGGCCTCCTCCTCCAAGACTTAGGCTCTCCACTCCAAAGCCAGCCTGGGAAGCCTCGGCTACTTTCCTTGCCCTCCCCTGTCCTGATCACTGCCAGGGCTGGGGCGGTGTGCGGGTACTCAGTCTGAGCATGTCTGGCCACTGGAGGGCATCGCTGAGCAGCCAGGCAGCTTCGGGATGTTGACAGGCTCCCTGGAAACTGGAGATTGGCCTCGCTGCGTGTCTGCGGTGTTGGGCCAGTGTCTAAAAGGGCCCAGAGCACCTGGGACTGACAAGCTGCTGCACCCACCACCACCTAATCCCAGCCTAATAAGGAATTTGAGCCATCAGAGCCTTTCCATCCCCAGACCTGGATGGTTCAGCTTGTGAGTGAGTGTAAGTGTTGAGCATGTGTGTGACAAGGAGGGTTTGTTGGGGGCTCTTCACTGAAAGTACTTGGGGACCAGGAAATGAAAAGCCAAGAGTAGTTCCTGGGGTCAGAGGCCAGGGCTAGTCCTGGAGCTTTACCTCAGAGCTGACCATGGGTGGTCTGGTGGAGCTCCCCACCCAGCTCCGGACCTGGCAAGCGCCTCTCGGCAGGCACAGGCAGGTTGGTGAGGGTGCAGCGCTGGACTCTGAGACATTGCTGTCATTTGCCTTCCTGATTGATGGAGCCAGGTGTCCCAGGGTCTGCCCCTGCCCCTGATCCCTTAAGCACTCAGCTGCTCCCCCAACACAGACACCAAGGCCCTCTGAGGCTTACCTGAGTGGGCAGGGTCCCATCCCACCGGACAAAGCAGGAAACTGAGGCTCAAGACATGAGAGTAACCTGGCACTCAGCCTGACGGGCCCCAGCAGAACCCCAGCTAGTGGAGACTGCCTGCCAAGAGGTTCCGAAAGACGTCTTCTTAGTGGCCAGGTCCCAGGTTCCACCCGGGGGGGTCTGCACAGGTTCTCAGAGGCAGGAGCTGGGAGTTTGCTCCAAGGCCAGGCTCGACGGTGGCTGTAGGGCAGGTGAGCATGACACCTTGGACAGTAACTACGATTCCCCTCCTGCAGGTACTCATGAAGATCGAATACAGCCCAGTGGGGATTGAGAGCATGATGTCAGCTCAGGATCTCGTGGCCTGCCTCTGCCAGCAGGGGGACAAGCACCTGGCCCTGGGGGAGCTGCCCTTAGCCACAGCCTTCTACCTGGCTGCCTTCAGTTGCCATGCCCCTTCAGCCGTGCGGCACGTGCGGGCCGTCCTGGCTGATGAGGCCCCAGGGTCGCCTGTGGTGGCCACACTGGAGGCCTGGTGTCGTGGGGACAGTCAGATCCCTGATATCCACTGGGATGGCATGGCAGTGGTCTCCCTGACTGGGCCACTGGCCTCTGCCTTCCTCGGTGCCATTTACCCGGACCACCCTGCCACTGTCCTGTACCTTTTGGCTGGCCTGCTAGCCCATGGGCGCCACACGGAGGCGGTACAGCGCTGCAGTGCCCTGCTGGACGCACACTCCCAACAGACCCTGGAGCTGCAGCTGACTCGTGCCCTGGCCTGGGTCCTGTCCGTGGACCAGGCCGGTGAGGGCATAACTGCGTATCTTCAGGCCTTTGCCTCCAGTGCAGACCGGACAGTGGCTTTCATCCGTAGCCACCAGCAGCCCTACCTCCCCACGTTACTTGGCACCCTCCAGAACTACCTCTCAGGACGCCTGAAGGACGCTGGGAGCACCACCCCTCAGGAGACCCACTGCCGAGAACTCCTGGAGGCCCTGGACCCCAGGGGCAGCTGGGTGGATGCCTTGTCACCCAAAGCTCTGCTTCGCAGAGGCAGGTTTGAAGACTGCCTGGCAGCATGCAGCCGGGACCTGCAGCCTGACTCAACGGGGAGCAGACCCCAAGGTAACAGAGTGGAGTCAATCACAGGTCACATCTCCCAAGATCCATGGAGACGGTCACTCCGGCCACTGCTAAAACCTGCCTATGGTGGGACCGGAGGTGGGGATGGGACAGGGGGTTGGGGGGGGAGGCTGAGGCTGGGGACACCACGGTGAAAAGGCAAAAAGGGAGCAAGCAAGATTCTTGCCTTACAAAATGCAAGGCACAAATCTGGCTGCTAGTCAAGGAGGGCTTCTCAGCTGAGGTGGCTTTTCAGCCGAGACTGAACCAGTCCATGCAGCAAACCCCTTGGGAAGAAAGATCTTGAAATGCCCTTGCCACCAAATAGTCAGGTTGGCTGGAAGGGGAGGAGATGGTAGCAGGCTGGTCCCTGGAGGACTTCGGATTTTACCCCTAAAGTTTCTTCTGCTATTGTGTATGGACTGGTGAGGCTACTAAAACCCATCGCTGAAAGTCAGTGCAGAAAGAAATGTAAATAAATTTCTATTGGAACTGAGCGGTGATGCCTACCCAGAGCCACTCTGGGGGAACACTGCTGGGTGGCACCAGGAGCTACTAGCTGTGGTGCTGGTATACAGATGCTGTGGCATCACACACGGGCCCCGTGGGCTCGGGGTCATCCTTGTGGTTCCAGAGCCCTGGGTTACCCGCAGACTTGGGGGAGATGCCCTGATCTGACAGAAGAAGGGACTTTGGGAAGGCAGAGCAACACTCGTTTCTCTCCCCAGGTGAGCACCTGGCGGCCCTGCTAGTCACCCGCGCAGCCGCGGCCTTCTTCCTGGATGGCCGAGCCGGGGACATGCTCCTGGACCTACAGGAGGCCTTCCGTGAGAGTCCTGCCGCGGCACGGAGGCATTTCCAGACCCTGCTGTCTGCTGAAGACCGCCAACGCGTGCAAGCTCAGGCGCAGGAGGCCGCTGATGTGGGCTTCTCCCGCTTCCTGGAGGCTGTGCGAAGCCGCCAGGAGCTGCGGGAGGACGCAGACCGCGAGCTCTTGGTTCCTGTGACCCACGCGCTCCATGTCCTGTTCCGCGTGGCGCCCGCCCGAAGGCGACCCGAGCTAGGGATCCGCCTGGTCGAGTGCCTGCTGCTGGCCGGGGACGTGGTGGGGGCTCGAACACAGTGTGAGCGCCTCTTGAGGCCCAGGCGTCCTGGGGAGCGCGTAGGGGACCGCACCGGAGACTTCGCGCCGCTACTGGCGCTGCGCGGCTTCTGCGCGCTGCACGCGGGCGATGCGCGGCGCGCCCGCGAGGACTTCCAGGCGGTGGTGGAGCGCGGGGCGCCGCATGCGGGAGGCTGTGTGCGCGCGCTGTGCGGCCGAGGGCTGCTGCGGGTGCTGGAGGGCAGCACCTTCCTGGGCGCGCTGGACTACGTCACCGCCTGCCGGCTGCGGCCGGAGGAGGTGCTGCTAGTCGCCAAAGCCTATGTGCCCTGGAACCAGCGAGGGCTGCTGCTGACGGTGCTGCGGGAAGAGGGCCGCAGGATGCTGCTGCGCTCGCCGGGCTGTGTGAGGAAGGCTGCTCAGGGGGTCGGCCCCGCTGCACAGGTGCAGGAAGGGTGAGAGCCTGCCCCGGACTGGAGGTGGGGGAAGCTAGAGAGGGATGTCTGATAGAAAACTGTGGCTTCCCTAAAGCAAGGATGGGTGAGGATCTGGAGCCAGGGCTGAGATCTCAGGATCCTGGGTCTCAGATTGTGGTACTTTGTGGGTTCCTCCCCTTAATGTAAGGAATACCGTAGGCATGGAGGCTCACACCTGCAACCCCAGCACTTGGGAGAATGTTACAGGAGGGTCGCTGTGAGGACAGCCTGAGCTGGAGAGTTCCAGACCAGCCTGGGCTACAAAGTGAGACCTTGTCTCAAAAATCACAAAAAGCAAACAAACAAGCAAGCAAAAAAGTAATAAAACGAAAAGATCAGGGGGCTGGAGAGATGGCTTAACAGTTGACAACAAGTGCTAGTAAGAGCCTGAGTTCAGTTCCCAGCAACATGCATAGGGTAGCTCACAACAGAATCCCTCACCTCTGGCTTCCAAGAGCACCTGCACTCATTTACACACACACACACACACACACACACACACTTTTCAGAATAAAATATTTTCGTTTTATTTTGTGTGTGTGGTTGGTTTTGTGTGTGTGGTTGCTTTGGCTTGGTTTTTTTGTTTTGTTTTGTTTTGCTTGCCTGTGTGTATGTGTTCCACGTGTATGCAGTGCCAGCAAAAGCCAGAAGAGGGCATGAGCTCTTAGGACTGGAATTTCAGTTGTGGTCACCATGTGGGGCGCTGGTAATTGAACACTGGTCCTCTAGGGAAACAGCCAGTGCTCTTAACCATTGAGCCGTTTCTCCAGTCCCAAGTTTTTCCTTGAACATTAATTAGTCCCCTGCGATGTTATAGTTATTTCTTACTATGCGCATGAAATGTCTCAAAATATGGAGCTTTCTCTGAAGCTGCAGCGTGTATCCCTCCTCTTAACCTCAATTGATGTTGAGTTTTTGTTGTTGTTGGTGGTGGTGGTTTTTTTTGGTTTTATGAGACAGGGTTTCTCTGTATTGTTTTGGAGGCTGTCGGTCCAGCCTGGCCTCGAACTCACAGAGATCCGCCTGCCTCTGCCTCCCGCGTGCTGGGATTAAAGGCGTGCGCCACCACCACCCGGCTGGTTGATGTTGAGTTTTAAGTTGCCCTTTGTTGCTAAACGGATTTGTGACGCTTTGTCTCCACAACACCTTGTCTCAAAGGGGGGCAAGGGTGTAGCTCTAGCTCAGTAGGCAGCTCCAAGGAGAGGTATTTGACTTCTAGTACTACCCACCCTACCCTCCCAGGCTCGTGTGGCACACCTGTACCTCCAGCTGCCCAGCCTTCACCCACCACTGTCAGTCCACAACCCCACACCTACCCATGAGGTTCCTCTGCCCTGGTATGAATTGCTACTGCTACTATGTTTCTTTGTGGTGAGCCCAGCAAAACCAAAACCATCAACTCTTGTACTTATAAGACAGAAAACGGAGGCAGGGTCTGCTCAGGGTCCTTAGGTGGCTTTGGTCCCTACTTCTGCGTAGCGCCTGCCCCCATGCTGTGGTGAAAAGAGCCGGGGAGAGGGTGAAAGGGCAGTTTAGGAATCTGGAGAGAGGTGTTATGGTCCTCCCTATGCAGCTCATTAGGGAAGATGCTACCCAGACTACAAGCATAGATGGGGATGAGATTCACCTGAGGCCTGACCTCTTGAGCAATGTAGGGGATGTAGGAAAAGGCCTGTGCCACACTGAGCCACCCTCTCTGTAGGGATGCCTATGGTGTGTACCAGCTGGCCATGCTGCTGATGGAGCTGGACGCGGAGGATGAGACTTCCTGCCTCTTGGTGGCTGATGCCCTGTACCTCTTGGGCCGCCTGGATGATGCTCACAAATCCCTGCTGATTGCCTTGTCCCGGAGGCCCCAGGCAGCCCCTGTGCTGGTGCGGCTGGCCCTGCTTCAGCTGAGGAGGGGCTTCTGCTATGATGCCAACCAGGTGAGAAGGCCCAGAGGTCTTATGCAGGTGGGAATGGGCACAGCTCTGCGGGGGGTGGGGAGGATACCATGCATCCTGTGTCCTTAGATCTGCTTCCTACAGCCTGGGCTTTGGGATAGGCAAACCTCATTAAGCTCCACCCCACCACCTCATACTTCTCTGACCCTCATCGACTGAGATAGTGCCAGGACCTGGGAGGTGCCTGCATAAAGCAGGTGCTTCCTGTTTGCTTTGACTGTGGCATAATGGAAAGTGGCCAAGAATCAATGGATCACAGGCTGAGCTCCTACTCAAGCCTGACTCTGCCTGGAATAAGGACGCAGCTTTCATGAGGCCCTTGGTCCCTGCTTGCTGGCCTCTGAGAACCCCTGCTCCCACATGGTGGAGCTTAAGACCTGACCCGGGTGTTGTGAGTTTTCTGTGTCCACAGTTGGTGTTTCTGGGGGTGTAGGGGAGTTCAAACCTCGAAGTCTGGGCTGAGGGGCCAACCAGCTTCTTCACTCTCCTCTGGCCTGGCTGGAACTCTGATCCCCTGGGCAGAAACCTGGAACTAACCAATCCTTCTCTGTCAGGGACAGGAGTCAGCACCAGGCCCATGGGGAACAGTGTTGTGTCTCCCAAGATGGAGTCATGGAGGGAGGAGCTTGTCTCTGCCTGAGAAGTTCACCCTGGCTAGAGCCAGGTCAGATTCTTGGCTTTTGGTTTGGTTTTTTTTCTGAGACAGGGTCTCTCTTTGTAGCTTTGTAGACAAGGCTGGCCTTTAACTCCCTGAGATCCGCCTGCCTCTGCCTCTGCTTCCTGGGTGCTGGGATTAAAGGCGTGTGCCACCATCTCCCGGCCCCAGATTCTTGGCTTTGGGTCAACACCTTATGAGCAGCTCCCCAGAGTCCCCATCACTTGCTGTTCTGAGCTGTCCCCTGCTCTAACTTGTTGAAGCCTTCTTTTGGGGTGGGCTCTCCCGTACACGATGGAGGAGGACCCCAAGACTCAGGGAAAGGAGAGCCACACCCCACCTTGCCTTTCTGTAGAGTGAGATTCTACTGCTGCTTCTTTACTCTCCACACCCAGGTCCTCTTTGGAGGAGGCACAGTAAATGGAGGACAAACATACCTTCAAGGGCTTAAATGTCTGGGGCGTCAGTTCATGGGAAAAAAAAACCTCCAGTGCTCAAGATAGACAGCTTTCCTGCACCCCAGACTTATGGAGACAGCCAGGACCTACTAAGGGCAGCAAGTGCTGGGAAGGGCATGGGTAGGAAGAGAAAAGGACCAACAGGGAGGGCAGTGACGACTCCACTCTTGCTCCCACAGCTGGTGAAGAAGGTGGCCCAGTCTGGGGACACTGCCTGTCTCCAGCACACCCTGGACATCTTCCACCATGAGGACCTGAAGCTGCTGCAAGGCCACTGCCACACACGGGCATTAAGCATACTTCGGGCACGACCAGGCGGGCCAGACAGCGAGGCCCACACCAGGGAAGCCATCACCTACCTCTCTCTGGCCATCTTTGCCACAGGTAGGAAACCCACCAGCCCCAGGGGTCCAATCCTGGGCCAGATTCATGAGGGCACATGGGTTCTGAGGACAAGCTTGCTCTACACGGTCCTATGCCCGGGAGCCTCCACAGTGCGGACGGGTTGGGACCATTTAGCAGGATCGCCTAAGTGCTGAACCCTGGCTGAGCGGCGAACGTGCCGAAGCTTTGAAGGGCCTGGGCTAGCCGGGACCCTGCACTGCTCCCGAACTGCCCTCCCCTGCTTGGTCCAGCGCTCTAAGGTGTAAGCCAGACCTTGGCTCCCGTGAGCTCTTCATAGTAGTGACAGGTTTCATATGAGCGCGCCTGGCCTCCACATCCAGCTAAGCCATCCCCTCTGGGTTGCAGCAGGGCTTGCCTTGAGCATGCCCTGCTCAAGCGCCATGGTGCAGGTCCAAGTCCCTGGAGCTTGTCAGGACCAGGGGTCAGAGTAGCGTATACCTTCATTCAGATCGTGGTGGCTTCTTGGTGGCTTGTGCTGGCTCCTCCCCGCTGCTCGTTCCTCAAAGAGTAGGCAGAAGAGAGCCCATGGGAGTTGGGAGGGGGGGCAGTTAGTGTATTGATTCCAGCAGGTTACCAGTGGCAGGGAAATGTCAGAGACCAGGCGTGACAGTCAGAGTGAGCATGTGGTTCCCTGTGTGGGACAATAGACAGGTAACGCAGAAGGAGTGTGCTGAAGGTGTTCTGTTTGGAGAAGAGCTCCACCTCCCGGAGTTCACTGAGAATGGCTACCCACCTTTGAGCCTCACAGCCTACCTACCATACGCCTCCTCTCTCTACCCTGGCCTAAGGAACTTATCCTCCTACTCAAGCCCTGCCTATTCCCTTCCCCCAAAACAGTGGCATAGACCTTCCTAGAACACCCCAACCATCCACTAGTCCTCCCAGGCACCACTACCCCTCCTGGTTGGGTTTCTGCCCTGTATCCAGTAACCCTAGCTGCCTGACTGTTTTGGTATCCGATGGAGTGTTAGCACCCCAGGGTGGACTTTTTGTCCTGTGCCCACCCAGTGTGGACACTAGGTAAGACCCTGTACAAGAGCCCTACCAAAGCTGTGTCTTGACCACATTTACTTCCTTCAGGGAGGCAGGCCAGTGAGTCCCTCCTCACCCGAGCCCGCTGTTACGGACTCCTGGGTCAGAAGAAGACAGCCATGTTTGACTTCAACTCCATTCTTCGGGAGGAACCAAGGAATGTGCAAGCTCTGTGTGGACGAGCCCTTGTGCATCTGGCCCTGGACCAGACTCAGGTGCCAGACTATCCTCTCCAGCTGGGGCTGGGCAAGCAGGAGTGGGGGCGGCCAGGGTGCTACCTTCCTCCTCTGCTGAAGGAGATGAGCTAGGTCGGGTCTTCCAGCCATCAGGGTACACATCAGAACCTGGTATTCTTCTAACCACGAGCACTTGCAGAGAGCAAGAGCCACATTCCCCACAATCCACCTTTCTGGGTAATCCTGCCTTCAATGCTTTCCTGCATCAATCTGTGTAAGCCCTTAGGGCAACTAGTGGGTGGTAAATAAATCTGTGCAGGTGGTAGGTAAGCCAGGATAGTCAGAATAGGGAAGGTGGGAAGTTGGGTGGGACAGACCCTCTGAGACTCCAAGGAGAGAACTTGAGAAGAGACTGGAAGGATGGGAGTGAGTCCTCCTACTCTGACACAGGCCCTCCTCCCTTTGCAGGAAGCTGTGGATGACATGGTCTCCGCCCTGAAGCTTGACCCAGACACTGTCATCTCTGAGATCCACTCTCTGAAGCCAGAAGTTCAGTTGCCCCTCACACTGGGCCTCCATGCCCACTGCCAGGTCCTCCTGAACCAATGCTTGGATGCCGGAGGCCCCATCAGGGAAGAGGACACCCAGAGCCTCCTTGCCGTGGGGAAGGCACTGATTAGAATTGATACTGCACAGCCCAGTTGGCACCTGCTTCTCACAGATATCCTCACGGTGCTGGGTATGTGTGTGTGCAAGACACGGGCCTCTGTCCCACACTCCTGACCCTCTTGTTATTATATCTGTGAAGTGGAGAAAGAGTCCTTAGACTATGGCTTCTAAGTTTCCAAATCCTGCAATCTCCAACCCCTGTATAAGAGCTTGTGGAATGGCTACTCTCTGGCTTCTTGTTTGCTTGTTTTGTTTTTCTCTCTCTCTCTCTCTCTCTCTCTCTCTCTCTCTCTCTCTCTCTCTCTCTCTCTCTCCCTCTTGGTTTTTTCAGACAAGGTTTCTCTGTGGCTTTGGAGGCTGTCCTGGAACTAGCCAGCTTGGTCTACAGAGTCAGTTCCAGGACAGCCAGGGATACACAGAGAAACCCTGTCTTGAAAAACAAAACTAACAGCCAGGTGGTGGTGCCGCACACCTTTAATCCCAGCACTTGGGAGGCAGAGGCAGGCAGATCTCTGTGAGTTTGAGGCCAGCCTGGTCTACAGAGCAAGTTCCAGGACAGCCTCCAAAACAATACAGAGAAACCCTGTCTCGAAAAACCAAAAAAAAAAAAAAAAGAAAGAAAGAAAGAAAAGAGATTGCTGGGATGAAAGGTGTGTGCCACCACTGCCTGGCTTTACTCTCCAGTTTTTCAAGTCATATCCCTCTGCTGGCAGAGGGAAGACCCAAAGGGCTCGTACATACATCCACATGGCACATGTGGGTTTCCTTTGACACTCTTGTTTGAAAGGCAGCTCTCTGCAATCTGCATTTACCCTGCAAAGACTTCAGGGGGGGTGCCCCACAGCTCTGCTCGTACTGGAGCTGAGTCTGCTCCCATCAATTGGACCCCAACCAAGACAGAGTAGGAGACACCAAAGTAGCTCCCTAGGGCTAGATGTCCTCCTTCCTGGGCATGCCTCTGCCCCTCCCACCCCCGCCACACACACTGACCATCTTCCCCTGCTCCCCGCAGGTAAGTATCAGGAGGCTGGCACCCACTTGAAAGAAGCCCTACAGCTCAGCCCATCATCAGAGGCTGCCCAAGCCCGGCAAGGCTTGCTCCAACTTAAAAAGGGAGATGTGTCCGTTGCTACCCATGACTTGCAATGCCTGGCAGAGTCAGACACTCAGGACCTCATCTTCCTGCTTCGTCTCCTTGAGTCCCCAGAGCGGCAGAGTCTCACCCAGGTATGCAGCACACCCACGATCCCCATGCTGACCTTGTCCCAGTACCACAAGCTTCAGAACGCCACACCCACCACAGGCCACTCTTCCCTTCTTGCTTGTTGGCTGGCTTCCTTGGGTTTAGGGTGGGAAGGAATAAGAAACCCCAGATCTGGACAGGGAAGATTTTTCTGGAAACACTACCCCCTGTTTCTCTCCTTGTGACATGCAAGTTGGGCCCCTTACCCTGGTACAAGGCCCACCCCAGGACACAGCTCAGGCTGTGAAGACCAAGAGGAATGATGTGCAAGTCCAGGCATTAGGCCTTGGAGTCAGAGGGACGTGGTGTCAAAAGTTGACATGGGGCAAAACAAGTGTCTCTCCAAATGCCTCCCTCTCTCTCGATTGCTCTGAATTCTGCCAGTCCAGTAACATGGAAAAGGGCTTATCAGAAGAGCGGGCTAAAACGGCAGGATTGGCTTAACAGTGTCAAAGGCTTCCTAAGCAAAGGACCTACTGCCAGAAGAAAGGGGACAAGGGCTGTGATGGTGTCGGCCAGACTTAAACTGAGGGGAGTAGCTAGCCTGGAGTCCATAGGGTCCATAGAATAGTATTCTGTAGTGTAGAGATCTAAGGGGCTAAGGCCTCAGGTCAGGGAGGGCCTGGGATCTGACCTGTGAGCTAAGAGAGGTCTGTGTAAGCCTTGCAGCTCAGATGGAAAAAGGGATCCTGGCAGTCGGGAGCCAAGGAGTACTGTGTAGCAGCTCACAGCCCTGCTCCAGGGAATGGTTTCCCCAATGTAACAACTCTGCTGTGATAGGGGAGGGTTTCCCCAATGAAATTGTTACAGTTTTACTCCATTCCCCCTGGAATGTAACAATTCTGTTCCTCTAGGGGAGGTTTTCCCCAGACAAACGCTAGAGCTCCACTCCTGCGAAAGAAGGTCTCACCCAAATCTCATTCAATAGATTTCCTGGGAGGGAGGAATCCAGGAGAGCAGCTACCTCTGCCAGGGTGGAAAAGGGCAGCAGCGAACTGTGCAGACACAGGGCTTATAAGGCTTCTTAGGGGCGGAAATTTTTCCAGGGTAGAGATTTTTCAGGGTGCAAGTTGGTGGGATTTCAATCCCTGAGCCTGGACAAGCTCAGAAATTGGCTAGATTTCATACTCAGGGATTGGTTGGTTTTTTTGTACTGAGTTGGTCAAGGGGCAGAGTTTGTTTCCTGGCTCTGGTTTCAGGGTCAAAGTATGCTTCTTTCACTGACTCTTTTAACCTTTTGGCTCTGGTTTCAGGGTCAGGGTGTGTTTCTTGGCTCTGGTTTCGGGGTCAGGGTGTGTGTGGGTTTTTTTGTTTGTTTGTTTGTTTGTTTGTTTTTGTTTTTTTGTTTTTGTTTTTGTTTTTGCTGGCCCTTTTATCCTACAATCAGGGCACTCTGGGAAGGTGGGGGAAAGTTCCCAGGCTTACACATGGTCGGGGCCTGGGGAGTCAGTCCTAGGGCTGAGTGGGGCCAGAGATGTCTCTGAGGTCCTGGGTGCCAATTAGGAGTCCCAGAACTGGGGGGGGGGGCTGGGGAATGGGGTCCTGAAGCTCTAATAAGGTCAGAAGGGGAATCGCGATCCCCAAGCTATAGGAGGACTAAGGAATCCTGAGTTCCAGGAAGCGCGCGGGGTTCCGGGAGGCGGGGTACGGGTTCCTGGACCTCAAGCAGGGAATGGGGACTTGAGATGAAGGTCTGGGGAGGTTCTGGAGCTTGAAGGGGAGAATTGAGAAAGCACTGGCCTAGGGGGTCTCAGCCCCAAGGGCTGGGTTTGGCAAGGCAACATTTCGGTTGCCCAGCAACAGGGACCAACCCGGAAATGGCCTTTCCCAGCTTCCTGCCCCCCCCCGCACTGATTCCAGCTGCTATACTGCGCCTGCCCCTGCACAGTCACCGCCCCTCCGCGAGCTGGGCGGAACTTGGATTTTGCAGAGCTTGGGTGTTCTTTGAGTCCCTTCTAGCTGCAACCTGCAGCCACAAGGAGCAGGCAGCTTAGCAGGAATGGCGAGAGGCTCTTGCAGGTCACACAGACGAGAACAAGAAGAGCAGATGCCCTTGTGCGAGCCTCAGAGCCTAGAGCCCTTCAATCTAATGCAGAGAGGTGGCACGGAAAGCCGGTTCCCTGTCCCTGTGGACTCCGGACCCTTCGGCCCTCCTACCAGAAACATTTGGCCTAACCAACTGGCATGTGGCGTTTGTTCCATGTAGCTATAACTGTGCAGAGCCCTGGGACCAAGGGAAGACAGACATACTAGGCCCGCTGCAGCCCTCAATCACAAGGAGTCATCTATCCAGGGGCTGGGAGTGGGTGGGTCTTCTGCACAGGGAGGGGACCAGACACCGGCAGAGGCTGAACTGCAGAGAGGCTAACTCTGTGCTCTTTCCCTGTGTCCCCTGCACAGGCCGCTGCCAAGGAAGCAAGCAACCTCTTGGATTTAGGACAGCCAGGGCTGGCACTGGGCTACTGTTCTTTGGCTGTCCTGGCTGGAGGCAGCAGTCCTTATCACCTGCGTCTCCGAACGGCCTGCTTGACCCAGCTACAGGAGTATGACCGGGCACTCAGCGACCTGGACCACGTGCTGCAGGAGGGTGCAGGGGACAGTGACCTGCCACAGCGGACAGAGGATTTCTGCTCTCGGGGTCGCCTGCTGCTGAGTCTGGGGGATAAGGATGGAGCGGCAGGGGCCTTCATCCAGGCCTTGGCCCTGTCACCAGCCCAAGCTCAGAGCAGCCTGTCAAAGCAACCAGGCCGGGTCCCCACAGCCGGTGTGTTCCTGGCCCATGGGCAGCGCTGTCTGGAGGAGCAGCGCTATGAGGAGGCCTGGACGGCAGCCCAGAATGGCCTCCTGATGGACCCCAGCCACAGTGGGCTGAAGAGACTGAAGATGAGGACTCGCAAGGAGGTGGCCTCTGGCTGCAGACTGCACTGACCAGCAGTAGCTAGCCCACCGGACACCCCCACCAGCACCTGGCCTCTCATTCAGGGTCACGTGACTCCTCAGACCATTCTTCCCTGTCCTTTGCTTTAGGACTAAAGAAGACCCTTCCGGCTTATGCAGAACAGCTGTCCTGGGCAGCTCACAGCCCCACTAAGGAGGCAGCTCATCCTCTCTGCTCAAACCTGGCCTTGGAGCAGCCACGGGCAAGATTTGGGCTGGTACCGTAGAGTCTTGGGGGAGACGTGGTATCCCGTGGAGCCCTCCCTGGGAAGAAAGCAGCTTAGGCTGGGCCTGGACTGCCTTCCGCATCAACCTTCCAGATTCTTGGGTGCCTGTGTGGAACTAGCTTTGCAAGGTCACTCACCAGGGAACTCCATGCTCACGCCAACAAGCACAGCCCAGGCAGCCCCTTCCCTCCACAGGTCCCTGAATCCTCTCGCAAGGTTGAGAGACCTCAGGCTTACCACTTGGTCTGGCCGTGTCCAAATGGCCAGGGTGTGATTTGGTGGCTTCTGAGCTTCGACAGCGGTTTCCTTACGTGGGCAGACTTCCCATCCAGTCTTGCTCCCTGTCATGGGGCTCCAGCCTGTCTCCATCACTCCCACCGTCACCACCAAAGCTGTCAAACAGAGGCCAGGCTGGGGGCTGCTTGGCATGAAGTGGTACAAACCCCTTCCTGGGGTTTTCCTGTGAGGGTGAGGGCAATGCGTCTGGATCTTGAGCCCTTCCCTTTGCCCTGGGCTGCCCTCTCTGCCCCTCCCTCCTGCAGGCTTTAGCCCCATAGAAAAACCCACTCTCTTACCCCATAAACAGACCAGGCTGGGATACACAGGATTCCTGATCCTGCCCATCCCCCAAGCAGCGATGAAGCCACTAGGTGGGGTTAGCAGTCCCCTTCCTACTGAAGGCTACCTCGTCATCCCTCCATGGTATGAGAGCCCTCCTCCTCCCTGCTGCTAGGGTACCTGAGATCCACCAAGCTCTGCCTCAGTGGGTCAGCCCATTCCAAAGGGGACCAGGAAGAGCAGGGAGCCTAGAAAGGCCTCTTCATGGGGCACAGCCTGGCTCCTGCCTTCCTTCCCCACTGCAGTCTCTAAGGTAGCCTGATGCGCCTCTCCCCATGCTGTCCCCTGCACCCACCACACCTCTCTCCACCTGTGCATTCCTTGGCACCGTGGACACTTGGCCGACGCCCAGCATGACCAAGGTCAAGGGGCCACTGAATCCTGGTGGCTGAAGGTGGATCTCAGCAGGAAGGTGGAGGTGGCAGGCAGTTGTCGCCCGGACATGCTCTCCCCACCCTGTGCCTTTTGCTCTTGCTGTCCCTCAACGTTCGTCCACTCAAGGACATCTCAGTCCTTGTCGTTCTAAGCACGAAAGTACCGGAGTCTGGCAGAGCTACTCCCGGCCCTTTCCCTTTCCAGCCACAAGGGGGCATCCCTCCTCACCTCATGGCTCATCCTACATGTATGCGTGAGCAATCACACACACACACACACACACACACACACACACACACACACACACCATTGTTCACCTTGCTGCGGTCTGAGTGTATTCCCAGGATTCATGAGTTCAGATCCCACTACCAACGGGATGGTGCCACGGTGTGGAGTCTTGCTGGTGGGGAAGAGTTAGATCCGGAGCCTTAGAAAATGGGATGAGCGGCTTTTTAAGACACTTCAGCCTGCCCACGGGTGAGGACAGGGTGGGAAGGTGCCACCTACAAGCCAGGATGCCACGCCCCACATGCCTACCAGTGCCCAGCCTTGGACTTCCACAACTGTGATAAATAAATCTCACTCCATAAGGCTCCCAGCCTGTAGTATTTTTGTCACAGCAGTTGAGTGAACTGAAATACAGTGTGTCCTCCTCACCACCACTCTGGCCTGACCACAGACCTCCGATCCCTGAAGATGGAGGTGAGTCTTAGCCGGCCAAGCCCCTCAGCCCACACGTGGTCTCATGAAACAGGCCCAGGCTACATCAGGCACCGCACCAGAGGTGGAGGTTTCTAGTAGCTGTGTGTATACCCTAGCTAGGGATTACGCCTACAGGTCATTTCCAGGGCAACTGGCCCCCACCATCCTGGAGCGTACACTCTGCAGATCTATATACCTCCTTGCAGCTCCCAAACTCCTACCCACAATCCCCCATGCTTGGCTGGACTGATAAAAACCCAAGGGCAGGTGTCCAGCCCTTGTGTGGTTCCAGCGTCTCTGGTTTACTATGGTCCCTGGAGTCCAGCTTTCACTGCACCTGGCAAACCACAAGTCACTTCTGATCTAAAACAACAGAGTTCCCATCGGGATCTGTGTGCACACAACCACCCCAATCCGGTTGGCTGCCACCCTAGACTCTGCTCCTGCCGGCTTTCCCGGGACTCCTGGAGGCGTCGCGGTGTATGAACCACAGCCTCGAGGCCCATCTTGGTCTTCAGTCACACTCGGGTTCCTAAAACCTGGCTTTTGACCTGGCTAAGGGTCTAAAGCCAGGTCTTTTAGTGCTGACTTACCATGAGGTTTTCAAATGAGAATGGCTAGTGTCCCCACATGGCCCTGGTTGGGGGGGGTGGGCATTTGAAAGGCTGAGTCCCCTGAGTTCTTACCTCAGCCCATCCCAGATGTGCCCATTCCTGTTCAATGTTCTAATTGTCTCATAAGAACTCAGTAAGGGGGACTGAGCAGATTGCAGCCGAATGTTTGTTTTTCTCTGTCTCATCCGATCCCACTGGACCAGTTTCTCGGGGTCTGTGCAGCCGCTTATAATCACTCAGAGGCTAATATTATTTTTTTAAGATTTTATTATGTATACAGTGTTCTGGCATGTGTTCCTGCATACCAGAAGAGGGCGCCAAATCTCATTATAGATGGTTGTGAGCCGCCATGTGGTTGCTGGGACTTGAACTCAGGGCCTCTGGCAGAGCGGTCAGTGCTCTTAACCTCTGAGCCATCTCTCCAGCCCCTCAGAGGCTAACATTAAATTATGATTGTTTGCCCAATGTCTCAGACATGTTACTGGATAGCTCTCTTATAAATTAACCCATTTCTATGAATCTGTGTATTGCCACGAGGCTGTGGCTTACCGGTAATACTCTGGCATCTTACCGCTTCGGCAACTACGCGGCATTTCCCTGGCCTTGCCTTCTTTTTCTCCATAACTCTGTTTAGATCTTCTGCCTAGCTATAGTCTGCCTGACCACTGGTCACATCAGCTTTATTTATCAACCATTAAAGGCAACACATATTCGTAGCACACAGAAGGGGACATCCCACATCAGCAGTAAAGTGCTTATTTTAACAAGCCCAAGGACCTGGGTTCAATCCCCAGAACTGGGGAGATAAAACGCCAGGCCACAGTGTCATACACCTGTAATCTCAATTCTGGGGGAGCCAGAGGCATGAGGCCCCTGAGGCTAACTGGTCAGCCTGTCTACTTGGGTAGGCGGTAGGAGACGTCCGCAAAGAAGGCAAGAAGCCTTACCAGAGATTTCCGTAACACCAGTTTGTCTGGAGAGCTATTGGTTATTAGGAAGTTGTTAGTGTAACTGGGGGTAAAGCTAACGCGTGAATGAGGTACTGCTGTGTCCTGAAGCACCTATCAGACCAGTCAGCTGCCCCCCCTCCTCTGCTCACCCTACCCAGCCCCTTGGCAGGTGAAGCTTGGCCACACCTTCCCGGCATCGGCCGAACATTTGTTTTTATGACAAGGTCCTTCTGTGTTAGTCAGTCAGCATCAACTTGCCAGGATTTGGAATCACACAGAAGATGCACCTCTGGGTGTGTTTCCAAGAGTATTTCCAAAAAGGTTCAACTAACAAGGGAAGAGCCACCCTGGATGTAGGTGGTGCCATCCCATGAGCCGGGGTCCTGGACTGAATAAAAAGGAAAAAAAGTGAGTTTAGCACCAGTGTTCATCCCCAAACCCCCCCCCCCGGCTTAAATGGCTTTTGCTAGACACTTGTTCATACCAAAAAGAAAAGCAACCACTAATTCCACCCAAAATTCCAAGCGATGGACCTAGGGCCTGAGCCCAGCTCTGAGCAGCAGGTGGAGACTGCCCCCCCCCCCAAGGCCATGGGGCACTCTCTGAAGCCATCAGAGCACAAACCCAACGTTGCCAACAGCCCCATTAAGAGATTGTTTTCATGGGACCCTAGCTCTGCTGTCCAGCCCTGCCCAGATGCCCTTGGAGGCTGGGAGCACTTGTCCATGGGCCACCCAGACAGCCTGAAGTCAATGCCTTGTTTAGAGCCCCTACCACTTCTTTAAGCATGTTCCTGGCTCATATTTGAAGATCTGGAAAGACAGCCCCTGAGCCCAAAGCCGTCTTCCAGGTCCCTAGCCAGGCTCCCTTCCTGGCTCTGGGTTGGAGTCTGAACTTCACAGTTTCCCCACAGGCTCTGGGAAGCAGTCCAATCTCTTACTATCGTCTTGAGCGAGAAACCTTTGTAATACTATGTCGGTCCATCACCATGGGCAGGGCCTCCCTTATGTTGGCAAGTCCTCCATAACCATCCCTCAAACACACCCCAGAGACTGTAGGGAAGAACCCCAGAGGAAGGGCCACTCATATCAGCCTGCAGCGGAAACCCTGCCAACACCTCAGGCCAAATAAGCATCGGTTTTCCTTCTCGGTAGTCCCTGGGTCCCTTTGGACTAGAGTCAAGAGACAGAAATGAGAGGGAGATAGGGGGGTCGGAACACTCCTTCAACAGGGTCCCTGTACCAGAAAGCACGCCTGCCCCTCCCCCACACTAAAGCCATGGAATGCCTGAGTATGTCCCATCTCCAAGGAGCTCATGCCATCACAAAGGTGAGCTAGAAGCCAGCACCGTGTGACCTCACAGCCAGATCGGCCTGACCGCTGCTCTACTCCACCGAAAGCCCACCTTGGCCAGCTCACCCCAGCTCTGAGACACCCTAACCCAGCCTTTAAGGATCTGCCCTGTGGTGGCTACGGCTCCTGAGATCACTAGGTAAGGCTCACTGAGAGGCCTCTGCCCAGCTGCTTCACTGGGTGGTATCTTGTTTTGTGTTGTTGTTTGGGTTCGGTTTATTTTTTGTTTTGTTTTGGAGACAGTCCTCGCTCTGTAACCCAGGCTGGCCTTGAGTTCACAGCAGTCCACCCATCTCTAGCACCCCCATCTCAGCCTCCCAAGTGCTGGGATTCCAGGCATGCACAACACACTTGACACCTAAGCTTTGTCATGGCACCCTCTGAGAACCCCGACGTTTCCTCTGGAGGCACACGCTGTTTCAGCATTCCACCACGCACGCCTGGTTGGGTAGCTCCTTTGATCCATTTCCTACCTGGAAGGCCCCCAGCCCCTCATCATGACAACCCAGAGGGTCTCCTGGAACATCTCCAGGGAGATGGAAACCCACTTCAGGGCCTGGCCGCACTGACTTCTCTCTCTTGCCTAGCACAGACATGCCTCACCTACCCCAGACCACCTGGCCATGTGCTTTTGTGTGTGTGTGTGTGTGTGTGTGTGTGTGTGTGTGTGTGTGTGTGTGTGTGTGCCGTGTTAGCAGGACATGAAGTTAGCAGGACAGAATGATGTGAGCCAGCAGAATGCAGCCGAGAATTAGCTAATGCATTCGGAGTCACAACAGGTTGGCTGGAACGTGAGCTGCGAAGGCCAGGCCCAGCCCCAGGCTGCCCTGCAGGGTTGACACACACACTCCTTCATTTACTCATTCACTCGCTTTTTCAACTGGCGCTGTGGATGTCCCCACATGAAGACGCAGGGGCCCCAGCCCTGGGGGAGCTGGTGTTCTCGCAAGTATGACATGAATAAGAACATTTGGGTCTACAGAACTGTGTGTTAGGATAAGAGAACAGGAGCTAAGGTTGCTTGAAAGCCGGGACGGGGAAGCCCATGTTTCAGGCTCCATTTACTCCCCTCCCCCCTTAGTTAGGGAACCTGGAGATTGGCTTGAGAAGATAGGGGGAGAGGGGTGGGGGGAGGTCACATTGGAAAGTGGCAGGCCCATAATGTCCTGAGAGGACAGTGGACTTCTGACTTTCCCCACTAAGGGGATGGAAAAGGGGACACGCCCTCAGTAGGTCTTGGCTGCCACTCAAGCAGATGGACAGCCTGGAGCAAACTAGGGGCAGTAGGAAGGAGCCAGGGGTCCGACACCCGCAGAACTTAAAGGAACAGAAGTCCTCAACAACCTGGCAATGGGACCGTCTGGAGGAAAGCAGAGGTCCTGTGGGTATGCAAAGGACCAGCAGGCAGCCATGGTCTGAGCAACCCAGAGGGTGTATCAGAAGTGCTGGTTTTGTGAGCACCAAGAGACAAAGAGGGAACAGTTAACTGACAGCCGAGAATCAGGAAGTGGGGCCCAGGGCCATGGCTCTGTACCATGTCAGAAACAGCCATGCCAACTTAGTGAGGACTGCCAGACTAGGCCATTTGGAAGATGATGTATAAGCAGAGGCACCAAGAGCCCCAGGAGACTCATAGGAGCACCCACCAACCCAGGAACGTTGTCGGTCACCTGTGCCTGTCCCGCAGCCATCCCTACCCAGCCACCTGTCCTGGTCACAGCAGCAACCTGCCACTCACTTTGTGTGTCCTCCACTACTGTCCATCTTGTGGTGACTCAGAAAAAAAAGTCTTCCCCATAGTGACATGGTGATGAAGGTGATAGACCAGATCTGCTCACAGCCCGATGGATAATGGGGAGGGGCTTCAAGCTGCTGACTCCCTCTTGCCCTGCTTGGTCCCCACACATGTTCTCACCCTTCTAATTCCCACAACCCCTGAAACTCCTGGATTGCAACAGGAACAGTGGAAAGACAGGCCAGGAGTTCAGGGCCTGAGTCGCCTTCCCAGCAGCATCCCTGATCCAGCTTCCAGGCCCATAACTCCAGGAACTCTTGGGCATAGGCAGCCCAAAGCAGGCTCCCCTGCAGAGGCCAGTGGATATCCAGGCTGAACCTCCTGGGTCCAGCATGCAAACACCAGGCCATGAGCAGAGTAGCTCCAGGACTAGGTAGTCCCTGCCATGTCAGTCAATGGAACAATAGAGACACTGACTTGGAGACACAATGGTCATCATGAGCTGATGGCCAGGTCTCCCTTCTACACAGGGGTTCCCTGAGCACTCAGAGACCCCTGCGAACCCCAAGACCAGGGCACTCGGGGCACAGTTTGCAGCTTTAAGGGCAGAGACCAGGACACAGCATCCCCAAAGCACCAGTTCCAGTGTGGCCAGGGCATTCAAGCTCCAGCTGTCTCTCCTGCCCCTGACCTGGGGTGCTCAGCTGTGTGCTTTCCACCCAGAACCGGCTGATGGGAAAGTCGGAGAGCCCAGTGGGGATGGTGGAGAAAGCAGACCGGTCTGGAAAGAAGCTGTCAGGCTTCCTGGAGGGGGGGCTGCTGCTGCTGCTGCTCCTGCTGCTGGGAGCCCTAATGGCCCTGGGTGTCCTCTACAGCAGAGGTGAGTAAGGACATCCTGCCCCTTTACCTTCCCCCTACCCACCCCCGCCCAGGGCTTGCGTACCCCTGCGAGGAACCAGCCTTGCAGAGTGGGGCAGAGGGCTCTGCCAGGGCCCCCTGTCCGCTCCTAGGGCCGTGCTGCTGACTCCAGAGGTGCCACGGAAGGGACACTGACCTGCACGGACCCAGCGACCCCATCCAGAAAGCTCTGTCCTGGCTTGCTGGCGCAGCTGCTGCTGCGGGCTCTGCCTCCGCCCCCTCTGCCTCGGCCGGACTCTAGGATGCTGCAGACAGCAGACAGGTCCCCCCGCCCCACCGGGCCAGCCCCCTTCTAGTCGGCAACACAGCCAGGCGTAGCGACTGCTGCAGTTCCCAGGTGGTCCAGCAGCGGGAGCCCAAGCCCCTGAGCTAAGGGGTCTGTCCCTCCAGCTGTCTCACCTGGTGCCAGTCAGGATGACCTGCTGGCTCCTGATACAGGCTCTTGCTTCTTGCAAGTTTGGAGGAGGGGGCTAGCCTGAGGACCCAAGAAGGTGGGGGGGGGTGTGGCTAGGGCTGCCCTTTGGGTAGACCTCGGGTGTCTCAGGAGCTGTTTTACACTCTCCGACCTCTTCCTAAAGGACCACAAGTAGGGCTAGGGTGCTCCCTTTGGATGGGGCACCTAGACGCCCAGCATTCCGGCATCCTCAAAGCCCTTCATCCCTTCTGAGACAGGGGCGGGGGATAAACACGCAGGAGGAAGGAAGGTTCACTCCTCCGCTCCTGCTGTGTCTGTAAGCGATGCGCTCACCTTGGTCTGGGTCTAACGCCAGGGCATGGAGCCTGAATGCTCCCCCAGCGAATGCCTGATGAGGGACATCTGGGAAACACAAGTGGGTTCTGCCTCACCCAGGGCTGCCTTCAAGGGCCCGTGTAGAATGTTACTTTCACCCAGTGGCCACTGTGGTCTCTGCCCCCTAGGTAGTCATGTAAGGGTTAGCAGGAATGACAGGGTCCACATGCCCAGTAGAGCCCAAGGCCTCAGGGACTCTTTTTGAGGTTCATTGGTCCCAAAACACCTGATTTTTGAGACCTCCAGAGAACAGGTCTCATGGCCCCACCGCCAGCCCCTGAGGTAGAAGGTGGGGAGGGGGAGGTCTCCTTCTCTTCTGTGGCTCTGTCTGTCTTCTCCCTGCCTGGCTCTCCCTTCACCCTTCAAATAGTATGACTTCTGGGACAGCCAAGGTCTCCTGGGCTCCACTAGGGCCCCACAATCTTTACTTCCTCCTCCTCCTCCTCCTCCTCCTCCTCCTCCTCCTCCTCCTCCAAAGCTCCTGGACTACTGGAATGACCCCACATCCAACCTGGGCTGCAGCCCAGGACTTCAGTCAGGATTAGGCAGCTGGGTGGATTTATATTATCCATTTTTAAATATTTTTCTTGTTTCTGTTTAGACGATTATTATTATTATTTCTGATTCGTTGAGCTGCTGTTTACTCTTTAGTTTCTATATCCATAAATTTTACTGACCTCTGGGTCAGTTGCACAGTTGTCAGAAACTCAGTTGGAGGTGGTCTGCTTGAGATTTCTGTCACTTGCCTGAGGGTAGCCTTCTTAGGAATGTTTCTGCTGTTGTGATAAAACACCCTGAAAAGGGCAAAGTAAGAAAGAAAGTATTTGGGGAAGTCGAGGTGCGGGATCCTTGAGGACATCAGAGGAGAGCAATGAATGCTGCGTTGCTCAACTCATTGTCTTCGTCTCTACAGTCCTGAGATACCCTCCCTAGGGAATGGTCCCACCCACAGTGGGCAGCCCGTCACATCTCACTTAGTCAATATAGTTCCCCACAAGCACACACACAAGAAACCCTTGTCCCCGGGGATTCTGGATCCTGTCAAGTTGATAACGCTAACCATTATACCAGCCTTAGGTGTAGACAAAGTTTCTGTCCCACCCCCTCCCACAGTCATTTAGTCCCAAGTAAACACACGAGGCTTATATTAATTATAAACTGTTTGGCTGATGGCTCAGGCTTCTTACTGGCTAACTCTCTCTCTTAGTTGTTAACCCATTTCTATGAATATGTGTATCTTCGCATGGTCTTGCTTACTGGAGAATGCCAGGACATCGCATCTTCCGGGTAGCTACATGGCGTCTCCCTCCCAACTCCTCTCCTTTCTTCCTCCCAGAATTCCCCTCGTCTGATAGCCCCGCCTATGCTTCCTGCCTAGCTACTGGCTAATCGGCATTTATTTATCAACCAATAAGAGAAAAATATATTCACAGCACACAGAAGGACATCCCCCATCACTTAGGCCAAGTAAGAATTGTAAAATAGGCCAGACACACTCAAGGGCTATGCCCATCCCTACCTGCAGAGTGACAGTGTCCATAGGTGCCTGTGAGTTCAATGAAGGCCCCTATAATTTTTGCTTCCTTCATTCTCTTGATCTTCCAGATAGTTATTAAAAGGAGTGTGAAATTCTCTATTTTTTGCTTTGTTTTGTTTGTTTGTTTTTCGAGACAGGGCTACTCTGTGGCTTTGGAGGCTGTCCTGGAACCAGCTCTTGTAGACCAGGGTGGTCTTGAACTCACAGAGATCCGCCTGCCTCTGCCTCCTGAGTGCTGGGATTAAAGGCGTGTGCTACCAACGCCTGGCGACTGTGAAATTCTTACATTAGAGACTTGTCAAATTCCTGACATACTATCAAGGGTTAATTTATCTCAGCAATTTAATATTATCACATAAACATAAATTTAGCCATAAGGGGATGGAGATGGCTCGGCAGTTGAGAGCACTGACTACTCTTCCAAAGGACCCAGGCTTAATTCCCGGCACCCACGTGGCAGCTCACAACTTTCTCCAACTCCAGTTCTAGGTAACCTGACCCTCTCTTCTGGCTTCCATAGGCATTGGGATGCACATACGATGCACAGACATACACAAAGACAAAGCACCCATACACATAAAATAAAATAATAAAATCATCTCCAAAAAAGGGCTCTAATGTGTTTCCCTCAAACACTCTCCATCAAAAAAAAAGCCATAACTACAAACTTAGTTTTCATAAACTTATGCAATTGTATATATGACTTATTTATTTATTTATTGGTTTTTCGAGACAGGGTTTCTCTGTATTGTTTTGGAGGCTATCGGTCCAGCCCGGCCTCGAACTCACAGAGATCCGCCTGCGTCTGCCTCCCGAGTGCTGGGATTAAAGGCGTGCGCCACCACCGCCCGGCTGACTTATTTATTTTTATTTCACGTGTGTGAGTTCTTTGCCCTTGCAGTTTTATATTTAGATGTACATACAAAATCAGCCCACTACACATCATTACACAGTGATCTTATCTTAGCCATGCTAACCCTGGATTCTGTTCCTTTTTTAAAAAAATTTTTTTCACATGGAGCTGGAGAGGTTGCTCAGTGGTTAAGAGCACTGGCTGTTCTTCCAGAGGACGGGAGTTCAATTCCTAGCACCCACATGGCGGCTAATAACCGTCTTTATCTCTAGTTCCAGGAGCTCTGATACCCTCTTCTGACTTCCACAGGCACCAGGCACACCCACGGTACACAGGAATACCTGTAAGCAAACACACACAGAGACACACACATAAAAATAAAATAATAAAATGCAAGGCAGTTCCTTACGGTTCTTGTATCACGTTTTATTTGTGTAGTGTGGGGAGCCTGAGGTCAGAGGACAATTTGTAGGGATCAGTCTTCCCTTCCACTGTGTGTGTCTGGGGGCTTGAATGCCAGTCCCCCACTTTCTTCTCCTCTGGAAGATTTCTGTGTGCCACTCGGGCTGTTTCCCCGCAACCATGACTGCCGGGTTTCGAGCTTGCCTTTTAACTGGGAAGATTTTCCTTCTTTGTGTCCCCTGTAATCACCAGAATGTGTCTTTTGCCGACAATGTTTGTGTTTCTGAGGCAGCTCATCTTTGGACTCTTCTACCTGTTACTCAGTGAGGACACGAAATGCCTGAGGCGGTCTGCTCATCGGTTCCCAGCTATATACAGCCTGGGTGGGTGGGCATTCCAGCTCCTGTCCCAGCTGCGTGACCTCAAATAATTTCCATGATGTCTCTGTGCCTCAGTTTCCTGACCTGCAAAACAAACTATAGGAGCGCATGCATGGGAGGCTCATATGAGGGCTTGGAGACTTGATACAACAGGAATGTTTAGAAAAATTCCCATCCCATTGCTCATTATCAGATTTAATAACAAAACGTCAGTCTTGCCTCTGATCCCGTCAATCTTGTCGTTACATCCCGTATGAAGGTGTAGATTAGCTTGTGAGACACCAAGTCCCCACCTCCCAGTATAGACGTCTCCATAGGTTTTTGCTTAAATCCACACTCGTCATTTATGTATTTTATGGTGTATTTTAAAATACTTATCATTTGTTCTTAATTGTGCATGTGTCAGTACAAGGACCCTCAGAGGTCAAAAGAGGGCGTCAACTCTGGGAACTGGAGTTGCAAGAGGCTATGGACAGTCACATGGGTGCTGGGGACTGGGCTCAGGGCCTCTGCAAGAGCAGTGAGTGTTCTTAACCACTGAGCCACCTCTCCAGGCTCTAGTCTGTATTTTTTTAACACCTGAACTATGAAAAATTGCTGTTGTCTGGATGTCATAGCTCTCCTGACAGTTCCTTTTTCTGTCTAGTGACTATTATGCAAGGTCTGTCTTTGCCATTTCAAAACACATCTGCCTTCTGTGTATCTGTCGTGGCAGGGCAGAGGGTGGGGAGAAAGAGAGATAAAGATCTCATGTAGCCCAGGCTGGACTCCAACTTACTATATAGTCAAGAATGACCCCGAACTTCTGATCTTTCCATCCCTACCCCGAAAGTTCTGGAATTACAGGGGTACACCTCTACATCTGCATTCAACCAGTACCTTTAAAATAGTTTGCTGGTTATCGAGGGGATGTAACAGGCAGCTTGAATATCCGTTTAGTCTTTGAGTGTTTCAGATTTGAAATGCCTGGCATAGGGTCATGTGTTTGAACATTTGGTCT